CAAATGGAGTGTAGTTTTCGACCACGCGATCGTGATCCGACGGCGGAGGACATGGAGATGGTTTGGAAGGGTTATTGGGCCGTTTTGGAGGGGTGTTGGGCTGCAACACACAAGAGGCCTTTAACCGTTGGAGTATCAAACGGACTCCAAATGACACGAAATTTGACAGGCGGTCTACCGGTGGTATACCAAGGCCGCTTGGCAAATCTTAGTCCATTCCGAGAATGTTTAGCACCCGCTCACGAAAAGAGACAAAAGGGGTGCGCCAGTGCACATAGGAGTGTCGGATTGCAAAATGGACAACGGGAAAAATGCTCGGATGCATGAGATGAACACGTATGCAAATGAGATGCACATGATGACATGATATGAAATTCATGACACGAACAAAATGCAAGACGAATACAAAACCCAACCATGAAGGGAATCTCATAACTTAAAGCCAAAAATGGCAGAGTCGGAGTTACAAATATGGTAAGTTACATCCGGTGTGTTGCACATCCCACTTATGATTAACCCCTATTGCAAGCATCCGCAACTACAAAAGAAGTATTAAGGTAAACCTAACCACAGCATGAAACATATGGATCCAAATCAGCGCCTTACGAAGCAACGCATAAGCTAGGGTTCAAGCTTCTGTCACTCTAGCAACCCATCATCTACTTATTACTTCCCAATGCCTTCCCCTAGGCCCAAATAATGGTGAAGTGACATGTATTCGACGTTCACATGACACCACTAGAGGAAAGACAACATACATCTCATCAAAATATCGAACGAATACCAAATTCACATGACTACTTATAGCAAGACTTCTCCCATGTCCTCAGGAACAAACGTAACTACTCACAAATCATATTCATGTTCATAATCAGAGGGTTATTAATATGCATAAAGGATCGGAACATATGATCTTCCACCAAATAAACCAACAAGCATCAACTACAATGAGTAATCAACACTACTAGCAACCCACAGGTACCAACTGAGGTTTTGAGACAAAGATTGGATACAAGAGATGAACTAGGGTTTGAGATGAGATGGTGCTAGTGAATATGTTGATGGAGATTGACCCCCTCCCGATGAGAGGATCGATGGTGATGACGATGGTGATGATTTCCCCCTCTCGGAGGAATGTTTCCCCAGCAGAACAGCTCCGCCGGAGCCCCAGATTGGTTCCGCCAAGGTTCCACCTCGAGACGGCGGCGCTTCGTCCCCAAAGCTTCCTCTTCATTTTTTTTCAGGGTGAAAGACTTCATATAGCAAAAGATGGGCACCGGAGGCCTGCCAGGGGCCCACGAGACAGGGGGCGCGCCTCCCACCCTCGTGGATGGTGGGTGGCCCCCCTCTGGTGCTTTCTTTGCCCAATATTTTATATATATTCCAAAACTGACATCCTTGGAGTTTCAGGATTTTTGGAGTTGGGCAGAATAGGTCTCTAATATTTGCTCCTTTTCTAGCCTAGAATTCCAGCTGCCGACATTCTCCCTCTTAGCGCAAACCTTGTAAAATAAGAGAGAATAGGCATAAGTATTGTGACATAATGTGTAATAACAACACATAATGCCATAAATATCGATATAAAAGCATGATGCAAAATGGACGTATCAGTGGTGAGGAGCGTAGTTCCACAGAGGACGACACAGACGAATGTTAACTAAGAGAGTGGTGAGAGCATCGAGCCAAAATCGAGCGGGCACGTTAGAGTGAAAGAGTAACGTGCGAATGCAGTCATTAAGAGTGCGAAGAATGCGCTCGGCTCAGCCGTTCTGCTGTGAGGTGTAAGGACAAGTCAGGCGAAAAGTGGTGTCGTGAGTGGGGAGGAGTTTAAGGAGAGCGATGTTGTCAAACTCTTTTCGTTATCAGTCTGGAGTGCGAGTATGGGGCGACCGAACTGGGTGGTGACATAGGAATAAAAGGCGGTGAGTGTGGCTAAAGCATCAGATTGACGACGAAGAGGAAAAGTCCACACATAATGAGAATAATCATCTAAAATCACCAAGTAGTATAGATAGCCCGTATTACTCGCAACGGGAGACATCCAAACATCACTATAAAGTAATTAAAACGGAAAAGTGGAAACTGAAGTAGACGCACTAAAGGGAAGATGAACTTGCTTGCCTAAGCGGCAAGCCTCACAAGTATGCTTGTTGAGCTTATTACATGAGAAAGAAAAACTCCTAAGAATCTGACGCAAAACTGCGGGGTTGTGGTGGCCCAAGCGAGCATGCCAAAGGTCGACGCCGGCAGCGAGCGCGACATGTGTGGAGGTGGAGGCGCCAGCGTGCATGGGATAAAGCTCGTCAGGGTTATCACATCGGTGAAGCACCATCCGGGTACGGGCGTCCTTCACAGAAAAATCAACACCGTCAAATTCAGAAGTAAGTGGATTCTCACGAGTAAGACGACGAACGGAAACTAAACTAGTGACTAAGTCAGGTGAGACAAGGATATTAGACATAGTGATAGGTGTGGAACTAGAAGTAAAACTAGTGCTACTGATATGGGTGATAGGTAAAGAAGAACCATTGCCAACGGTGATACGAGTGGGTGTGTTAACTAGAGTGGAAGAGGATAGGTTACCGGGATGAGTTGTCGTGTGTGCAGTAGCACCCGAGTCCATGTACCAGTCGACTCCACTGCCATAGTTGCTCGGCGACAGCGCCGAGTGTGGGGTGGCCAGGAAGGCGGGATCCCACGGGGCAGGTACCGGCGGCGGCGGCTGACCTCCATGGGTGGCGCCCGAGCAGGCGCACCGTAGCCACCGAGGGGTGGCGACGTGAGCAGAGCACCGTAGGGCTGGTAGGGGCACCAATGAAAGCCTGGTGGCCCATGGGGCGAGGACCAAGAAGAACCAGTGCAGGGGCCCGCCAGACGGGCATGTGATAAGCATGGACTACGCCCGTCTACGGGTTTTTCCCGGCGGCCCACAGCGGGGTCGGCTGCTGGTAGCGGGGCGACCCCCCGACGCCTGGCGCCTGCTACTGGCGGCTGCCCCCGCCACCTTGCGACTATTGGAGAGGCGTGCGGGCACGGGAGATGCGCGCAGCAGCGGATAGTAACTGGTGGGCGCGGGCGGCGTAGGCTGACAGGGCGGGGTTGGAGGAGCAGAGTCGCCACAGGTAGTGCCGGCGGCGAGGGCGGTGTGCTGGACCCGCTGCTTCAACTTCGTCATCCGGCGCTCCTCAAGTTTGAGGTACGCAATGACGCACTGGAAAGTGGGCTGCGGCAGTAGGATGAGGTTGGACGCCGCGTTGCCGAAGTTCTCATTGAGACCGGCGGTGAGGGTGCTCAGCATGAGGTCGTCAGAGACATTAGCACCGACGTCGTGAAGCTCGCCGGCGAGCATCTTGAGCCCCACGCCGCACTTGTCGATGGTGGATTTGTCTTGGTGACAGTCGAAGTACTCATGTTGCAAGAAAACAAGGCGCTAAAGTTTGTTATCGGAGAAGAGTGTGTTGATCTTGGCCCACACGTCGCAAGCGTCGTCGTCCCCGGCGATGACCGTGTGGAAGATGTCCTTCGAGACCGTCTGGTAGAACCAACGGATGATCGTGGCCTTGATAGCGGACCACTCTGGATCGCCACGCATGTACGCGCTGTCCACGAAACCATCAATGTGCTTGGTGAGATAGTACTCGCGGAAGATGAGATTGAAGTAGGTCTTCCACGCGTAGTACGATGTGCTGGAGCAATCGAGACGAATAGGGACCCGGGCCTCAATATTGAGGTCATGGATGGCGGCGGCAGAGGGCTCGGGGCCGGCGAACGGGTTGGAAGAGGGGGTCGTGGATGAGCCGGGAGAGGATGGCCAGCACATGGCGGCGCGCGGGTGAGGGGCGGCGACTAGGGTTAGGGTTTGGTGGAGGAGGGGGAGATGAAGGAAATATGCCCTAGAGGCAATAATAAAGTTATTATTTATTTCCTTATATCATGATAAATGGTTATTATTCATGCAAGAATTGTATTAACCGGAAACTTAGTACATGTGTGAGTACATAGACAAACAGAGTGTCACTAGTATGCCTCTACTTGACTAGCTCATTGAATCAAAGATGGTTAAGTTTCCTAGCCATAGACATGAGTTGTCATTTGATTAACGGGACCACATCATTAGAGAATGATGTGATTGACTTGGCTCCTTCCGTTAGCTTAGCACTTGATCGTTTTAGTTTACTGCTATTGCTTTCTTCATGACTTATACATGTTCCTATGACTATGAGATTATTCAACTCCCGATTACCGGAGGAACACTATTTGTGCTACCAAACGTCACAACGTAACTGGGTGATTATAAAGGTGCTCTACAGGTGTCTCCGACGGTACTTGTTGAGTTGGCATAGATCGAGATTAGGATTTGTCACTCCGATTGTCGGAGAGGTATCTTTGGGCCCTCTCGGTAATGCACATCACTATAAGCCTTGCAAGCAATGTAAATAATGAGTTAGTGGCAGAATGATGCATTACAGAACGAGTAAAGAGACTTGCCGGTAATAAGATTGAACTAGGTATTCAGTACAGACGATCGAATCTCGGGCAAGTAACATACTGATGACAAAGGGAACAACGTATATTGTTATGTGGTTCGACCGATAAAGATCTTCGTAGAATATGTAGGAGCCAATATGGGCATCCAGGTTCCGCTATTGGTTATTGACCAAAGAAGTGTCTCAGTCATCTCTACTCCTAATGGACGAGTTGGTGAATAGTCTCCACGGTTTATTTTCGCTGGTTTTTTCGTCTCTCCTCCCACCACCCCCTCCCACCCTGGTTCATCGGTTTATTTTTCTCTTCACTCTTCATTACAACTAGAACTTTCCTAACCTATAACAAATCAAGGATCTAACTTCCTTAAATTATGCAAATCAATCGATTCCTTTTATTGGTTCAATTTGTCTTAGGAAACAAATAACAGATTTTCAGGAAACAAATAATACATTTTAATCTTACTTTCCTAACTTATCTAATTCAATTGATTTCTATTATTAGTGAAATTTGTTTTAGGAAACAAATAACAGACACGTCACAACTTTCCTCCCAATAAATAGTTTCTTAACATTTGCAAACTTTCCTAATCAGACACGTCACAAACCCCATTTGCATAGAAATCAGTTCAAAAATCACTACTTTCCTAATTTTTTTACCTTTCCTTGATAACAACCAATATTTCCTATCTTTTCCACCTATTGAAGGAAATCACCCCTCCATCGATATTAGCATTTTTTGGAATGAGATCTCCGGGTTATGATTTTTTTTGCGATTCTTTCCAATTGTGACCTCTCCTCCCACTCTGGCTCCTTCTCGCATAAACACCTCCACCACAGCCAGGTGACACCACCCCAGACCTCCTGCCTCTCCACACCTTCTCCGCCACCTCCTTCTCATACTCCATTAACAATCCCTCCGCCACATTTGTCCACGGCGGTGTCGAGGGCATGGCGCAGCCGCGTACGAGCGGTAGAGCAGCGCATAGCAACAAGAAGCAGCACGCAGCAGGCGAGGCGAGCAGCCGATGGTGGAGGGCAGAGATGCGGCCGACATGGATGAGGGGGTGGGCGGCAGAAGATGGCCATGACTGGAGGCGGCGCGAGGCAGGGGCGCGACAGCGGGGTGAGCGATGGGATAGGTGGCAGCAGACGGGGCGAGTGCAGCCAGCGAGAGTGTGGCGCGCGGCCAGGGTTTGTGTCGCATGGGGCACAGTGGTGCGATGGCTGCGGCAAGCGCGACGGCAGCGGCGGGCGCGACTGACGCGGTGTAGCACGGGCGTGGGCATGGAGAGGGAGTGGCCCCGCGGGCGTGGAAGAAGAGCGGCAGGCTCGGGCATGGGCGTGCATAGGAGCTGACATGTGCCACGGGGTCAATCCGAGGAGCTCGGTGGCTACCCATGCAATGGCCATGGCGGATGGTGATTCTCGGCCACGGCAAAATACCTAACGAGAGCAAACGAGAGGAGAAACAGGGGAAAGGCAAGAGGAGATCATGGCGGTGTCAATGGCGCCCTTGGGGAAGACATGGGGGCTCGGGGCGGCGCGGATCGAACGACAATGTTGCGGTGGCCCAAGGTTGAGGAAGACGTCAGCGACGTCGATGCGGGGGTGCTGGACTTGATCTCGTTGGCGCAGATGAAGTAGCGAAGGCATTCGGAGCTCCTTGACAAGCTCCTAGCCAGCAGGGAGGGCAATGGCCGTGTGGACGGGGTTGGTCATGGTGGCCGTGGCATCTGACTTCCTCCAGATTGACGGGATCGAGCAAGCGAGGAGGAGAAGTGGATTTGGGAGGGGCGTCGAGGAGGAGTGAGGCCATGGGGGCAGGGAAGGCAGGGCGTCACCCTTATCCATTCCCCTTCGATGCCAGCAAGGTGGTCGGGCGGGAGCCCGGCTCTGTAGCGACGCGGCTCGGGAACAGGAGAATACGACCGCGCGGGGACTGGATCGCTGAGCCGGTTCAGTGGCAAGGCCCAGGGGGCAGGGAGAATCCCCTTTTACATCGTCCTTTTGGTTTTTCAATGTATTCTAATATGTTTCTCCTTTTTAACACAATTTTCTATTTATTCTTATCACCTAAATGATCTCTACTCCTAATGTCTCAGTTGGTAGTCTCCGTTCCGGGTATATTTTCGTCCCACCTCCCCTGGGTTTTTTTCGTCCTCCCTCCCACCTCCCAATTTCTTGTAGGTGGTTCTCAAGCTGGAGGACAACATATTAGTCAAGACATTAGGGATCCTCATTGATGTTTTATCTCTCGTCTGCACTTATTTTGTTTGCTCCAATTCTATATATTCTCACGAGTAGATGAGATGTAAGCATGTGCAATGTAGTTCCTTTTTCTACATATGGTGATTGATTTCTTCTTTGGTAACCCAACTAACGGATGGTAATCAAACTTCAAATACCAAAACCAAACGTACAAGACAACAATCAATTCATGTATCACAATCAGATTCTTCTTTAGAACCCAGCTTAACTCACAGATGGTAATCAATCTCCAAATAAGAAAACAATCACCGTCGTTTACCTCTCGCCAATGTTACATAAAAATGAGAATTTAGATGTATTCTTTGTCATGGAGTTGTGGCTGGCCGATTACATGAAATTAATTCCCTCAGTTGTGGTGGCAAATATAATACACATAATCCATATTGTTATGCACTAGCGGGTGTGCGTGTGAAATAGATGGATTATGGTCCCGTACCCAATAAGATGGATATGTGTGTGTGTTAGAGAGAGAGCGAGAGGGGGAGAGAGTGAGGAAGAGGGGGGGGAGAGGGTGTGTGTGTGTGAGAATTTGATGGTAAAAAAGGTCGTCAATGTCACTTAATATGTATGAGAATATTAAATGTAATATTAATATAATTGATATTGAACTCTTAAAGTTAATGTGACCCCGTTGCAACGCACGGGCGTTCTTCTAGTGTCTACATAGTTCTCGAACTTGTAGGGTCCGCATGCTTAACGTTCGTTGACGATATAGTATTTATGAGTTATGTATGTTGGTAACCAAATGTTGTTTGGAGTTCCGGATAAGATCACGGACATAACGAGGAACTCCGGAATGGTCCGGAGATAAAGTTTGATATAAGGGATAATAGTGTTTGGTCTCCGGAAGGGTTCCGGAATTCACCGGAAGGGGTTCCGGATGTTTCCCGAAATGTTTGGGTACAAGAACACTTTATTTGGGCCAAAGGGGAAAGCCCACAAGGTTTTGGGAAAGCGCAAAAGGAAGTTTTGCGGAGTCCAGGGGCCAGACGCCAGACGTCTGACCCTGCAGTCCGAGAAGGACTCTTGCCTTTCGGGTGAAACCAACTTTGTGGAGGCTTTTACTCCAAGTTTCGACCCCAATTCTCAACATATAAATAGAGGGGTAGGGCTAGCACCCAAGACACATCAAGAAACACCAAGCCGTGTGCCGACAACCCCGTCCCCTCTAGTTTATCCTCCGTAATAATTTTCGTAGTGCTTAGGCGAAGCCCTGCGGAGATTGCTCTTCACCAACACCGTCACCATGCTGTCGTGCTACCGAAACTCATATACTACTTCGCCCCTCTTGCTAGATCAAGAAGGCGAGGACGTCATCGAGCTGAACGTGTGCTGAAGGCGGAGGTGCTGTACGTTCGGTACTTAATCGGGACGGATCGTGAAGGTGTAGGACTATATCAACCGCATTGATAAACGCTTCCGCTTTCAGTCTATGAGGGTACGTAGACATACTCTCCCCTCTCGTTGCTATGCATCACCATGATCTTGCGTGTGCGTAGGATTTTTTTTTTGAAATTACTATGTTCCCCAACAGTGGCAAATGAGCCAGGTTTATGCGTAGATGTTATATGCATGAGTAGAACCCAAGTGAGTTGTGGGCGATACAAGTCATAGTGCTTACCAGCATCTCATACTTTGCTTCAGCGGTATTGTTGGATGAAGCGGCCTGGACCGACATTACACGTATGCTTACACGAGACTGGTTCTACCGACGTGCTTTGCACACAGGTGGCTGGCGGGTGTCAGTTTATCCATCTTTAGTTGAACCAAGTGTGGCTACGCCCGGTCCTTGAGAAGGTTAAAACAGCACTAACTTGACGAACTATCGTTGTGGTTTTGATGCGTAGGTAAGAACGGTTCTTGCTCGGCCCGTAGCAACCACGTAAAACTTGCAACAACAAAGTAGAGGACGTCTAACTTGTTTTTGCACGGCATGTTGTGATGTGATATGGTCAAAACATGATGCTATATTTATTGTATGAGATGGTCATGTTTTGTAACGGAGTTATCGGCAACTGGCAGGAGCCATATGGTTGTCACTTTATTGTATGCAATGCAATCGCCCTGTAATTGCTTTACTTTATCACTAAGCAGTAGCGATAGTCGTAGAAGCAATAATTAGCGAGATGACAATGATGCTACGATGGAGATCAAGGTGTCGCGCCGGTGATGATGGTGATCATGACGGTGCTTTGGATATGGAGATCAAAGGCTCAAGATGATGATGGCCATATCATATCAGTTATATTGATTGCATGTAATGTTTATCCTTTATGCATCTTATTTTGGTTTGTTTGACGGTAGCATTATAAGATGATCTCTCACTAAATTTCAAGGTAAAAGTGTTCTCCCTGAGTATGCACCATTGCCGAAGTTCGTCGTGCCGAGACACCACGTGATGATCGGGTGTGATAAGCTCAACGTTCATCTACAACGGGTGTAAGACAGTTTTACACACACAGAATACTCGGGTTAAACTTGACGAGCCTAGCATATGCAGATATGGCCTCGGAACACTAGAAACTGAAAGGTCGAGCATGAATCATATAGTAGATATGATCAACATAGTGATGTTCACCATTGAAAACTACTCCATCTCACGTGATGATCGAACATGGTTGAGTTGATTTGGATCACTTGATCATTTAGATGACTATAGGGATGTCTATCTAAGTGGGAGTTTCTTAAGTAATATGATTAATTGAACTTAAATTTATCATGAACTTAGTCCTGATAGTATTTGCATATCTATGTTGTAGATCAATAGCTTGCAATTTAGCTCCCCGTTTATTTTTGATATGTTCCTAGAGAAAAATAAGTTGAAAGATGTTAGTAGCAATGATGTAGACTAGCTTCGTGATCTGAGGGTTATCCTCATTGCTGCACAGAAGTATTATGTCCTTGATGCACCGCTAGGGGACGGACCTATTGCAGGAGCAGATACATATGTTATGAATGTTTGACAAAGCTCGGTATGATGACTATTTGATAGTTTAGTGCACATGCTTTACGGCTTAGAACCAGGACGTCAAAAACGTTTTGAAACGCCACAGAACATATAAGATGTTCTAAGAGTTGAAATTGGTATTTCAGACTCATGCCCGAGTCGAGAGGTATGAGACCTCTGACAAGTACTTTGCCTACAATATGGAGGAGAATAGCTCAACCAGTGAGCATGTGCTCAGATTGTCTGAGTACTACAATCAGTTGAATCATGTGGGAGTTAATCTTCCAGATAAGATAGTGATTGACAGAGTTCTCTAGTCACTATCACCAAGTTACTAGAACTTCATGATGAACTGTAATATGCAAGGGACAACAGAAACGATTCCCAAGCTCTTCGTGATGCTGAAATCGACGAAGGTAGAAATCAAGAAAAGCATCAAGTGTTGATGGTTCACAAGACCACTAGTTTCAAGTAAAAGAGCAATGGAAGAAAGGGAGCTTCAAGAATAATGGCAAGCAAATTACCACTCCCATGAAGAAGCCCAAAGCTAGACCCAAGCCTGAAACTGAGTGCTTCTACTACAAAGGAAATGGTCACTAGAAGTGGAACTGCCCTAGATACTTGGCGAATAAGAAGGATGGCAAAGTGAACAAAGGTATATTTCATGTACATGTTATTGATGTGTACTTTACTAGTGTTTATAGCAAACCCCTCGGTATTTGATACTGGTTCAGT